ATCATTATATCTTGTTTTTGCTTTAATTTTTAAGAATTAAAAAAACAACCTTATTTTAAAGACCTCTACTTGAGAAAGCTTTCGCAGCCTGTACATAAAACTATATACACAATACTGCTGACAGCAGGAAAATTCCTATCCTTTACTCAGCAGCTTATTAAAAACAGCAGCCATGGTGTTCTTCACATCACGAAGAGTGACACAGCTTCGTGATGTGAATCTGTTTTTCGGTGATTACAAAGAAAGTGGAATACAGTAATACTACCTGCTATATAGATACATATATTTAGATATTTAAATCCGTAAATTAATACCATTATTAATTTCATTAGAAATTGAGGATTCTTGTGATATTTTGAGCTCTCGTTGAATGATAAATGTTGCATAGTGTAAATCATTTTCATTCTTAGAAATTATGAAATGCTCAGTTAAAAGCAAGGGAGATTATGTCTGTTATAGTGGACATAAAAAGGAGAGTTCGCTGTGGCGTTATAGGCAACCCAATTTTAACAACAAATCGCTGGCGTTATATCCTAGAAGGTACTGAGACCAGGACCAGTAGGAGCGCTCCCACAGCGAAAAAGAAAATGTCTGACAAACTACGGATTGGACAGTTTTTCAGTGCTTGTACGATCGATGGAAATGTTCAAATAAATGTGCTAAAGAAATAAACAAAAAACAAGTCATTTAGTCCTTTAGCATATTGGCTAGCTAATGTCCTGTCCTTGTTAGTTACTTGTGGCTGTGTTTCTGAGTTGCGTAGCAACGAGGGACTATATTCTCAGGTGGAGGAACGTAAACAGCTTAATTTTTGTGTTAAATACATTTTTTTAATTAAAATTCATTTTATACAGCTATCACATATTTGGGGACCATTTTATAGAAGCAATAAGGCACTCGAGGCCTGTGCTAAATCATCGATATAGTCACAGTTAAAAGGGTTTCCGGCCCTCTGCATAGTGTCGGGCCTAACAACACCTTTAACTGTAAATATATCCACGATATACAGCAGCACAGCCTCTCGTGCCATATTGCTTAAATAATTATGCTTTTAACATAATCTAATTTGCATATGGTGAATTGCGGTATACTGCGAAACGCCCACCGTGTTGTACCGCAGCATACTCCACTTGTTTTGAATGGCTGCATCTGTATACATATGATAGGTTTCATGTCACAAAGAATCAATGCATATATTGGCACAAATATAGAATTTGGCCAACTTCTCTTGCAGTCTTCGCAAGTCAATGAAGTGAAGATCACATAGCATTTTATTCCACTTCTGGTGTGCCTAAAAACAAATTTTCTCCATAAACATCATAAAGAGCCTTTCTAGATCTGCCCGTAGTCAATGCAATATTAAAAATAATAAATTAATGTTTTCATTACTGATGGAGCCTGCTAGCAGAATCTGTGTGTTACTCTTTACCCATATAGTGGTAGCAGCTGTGAACTCCTGCTGAATTCACATGCTGAACTCTGACCGTCACACCTGTTTAAGCACAGATGCTCCCCCCCCCCGTACTAAACCCCAAATGGTGAATGTTTACACTAAACACCTGATGAGAAAGGATGTTTAAGTGCTTTTGAGTCCCAGAGTGTCGTGAGAAAGCAACCTCAAATACAGGAGGGGGAGGGTGTAGAGAAATGTATATATAAGTTGTGTAGAGCCATATCCACTTTGAGCTACGATAGATACTAAAACTATTATGGTCCTTATTGTGGTCCCTTGTATGCATACAATAAAGCCTGGTTGGATGAACGAACACTTCAGGCTCGAATCCCTTGGTTTCTACAATTACTTTCATATTATTTATTTTACATTTTTGGAAGGCAAAGAACACCATTCCAGATCCTGGCTTTATATGCAGGTTTTTTAAAAATATATATAAATCAATCAATTTTATTCAATAAGTCAATAAAATCAATTTTATTCAAAAATAGACATATTAGAGAAGACCCGAAAAGAGAAATGTATGTCCTTGGTGTGCTACAACTTGAGAAATTATCTTTTGAACAAAGAATATAATGAACAATGAACATAAAATGCATGTGTTGTTTTTTTCCTGTTTTTTTTTCAGGTTATTTATTTCTTATGTGTGTACTGAATAATACATATAAACAATCAGAAGGTTCAGACTTGATGTCCAAGGACCTCCCAACATAATTCAGGTTTATTACAAGATTAGTAAAGGCTTCAACCATTCCAGGGGGACATTTACTTTGGGTTCCATGTGAGGGCTGGGTTAAAAAGGTTTGCCTCATCATCTGTTACAACAGTGTCCCCATACTTTAATATTTGTTTTGGAAACTGAGGTGCTGAGTGAATACTGCCATCTACTGGAAGACCAAACCTGGTTTACTTTAGACATTTCCTATTCCAAGGTTGACCAAACCCAGAATTGCTAACCTCTAAAATCTAACATGACCGGGTTACAATGTATCTGTACTGCTATCAATATTCTGCTGAATCTGAGGTTAGAGCCATTAGTAGAGTTGTTATTGTTTTTAGAAAATAACCATCTACCATCTGAATGAAGATTGATTTTATAATGTATACATTGAATATCTTTTATTAATTTATTTAACTAACAAATTTAATAAATGGCAGCTGTCAGCAGTTTGCATTAGGTTTCAGTAAAGTTGAACAACAGCTAGGAAGGATGCTGGGACTGCTTTCCTTACTGCCTGCATAGCCTGAAGGCTCACAGAATTAATAATCTTGTTATTACAGATGATGAAGAAGGTCTGTGTGTTTTAATCCATTTTGCTAACAGTTTAACAAGTTAAATATTCTCTATTACTATAAATAAGAATGATTAACCAAACTTGGTGAACACCTTATGATGAAGTCATTTCTCTCGCTAGAGCACAAGGTTCTTTTTTAAAAAATGAACAAATAAGAAGAGTTGTCAGATTATAAGATTCTGTAAGAGGAAATATCATCTTCAACTAATTTTCTAAAAAAAAGGGAAAGATCTTTGGCCAAAAAGAAAAATCTGGATATCCTCTATTGGCTATTTCTCAGTGTATTTTATGAACTGCAGCTCATAAGTGGAAAATAGACTTTCCTAAGTCATTGGCCCTTACTGCATTGTTGCCATTTCTGTTCTGTCTTGAAATGTTCTCTAGACCGACATTATTAATATACATTTTGGTTATTATCTATTAGATCTACTATATAATCCACTGTCAGTGGACTGAGTTTTGAAATTATTTGAGCCTTTAAAAAATGAATATAAAACATACTGCTGGAAATCTGAAATATTTAAATAAAAATTATCCTAGATTGAGGAAATCCATTCTTTTCATGGCATAGTTCTGGGATGTGATATAGAGAGATATTATGTGATCTTCAAAAAACATTGGTGCCAGCCACTGGATTTTTTTTTTGGCCATGTTACATCTATCCCATTAGAGGAAGCAGTGTGATTTCCTACAAACATGAAGCAAGACTCTGGGTTTCCCCATGTACCAGCCTGGCACATGTTGCAATTACAGTAGATATACCTGCACAGTTTTCACATTTTGATGCTTTAATGTTCAGCAGCCATAACACTTTGAAGTTGTGATTAATATTTGTTTAACCTCATCCACACATTTAAAACAAAAAAAAGAAAAGGAAGAAACAGATAATGTGAAAGAAAAAATGTAAATATTATGATTGCCGTGGAAGACCTACATTAAATTAGGTGTACAAAAATACCTTAATGAGCCACAAAGTTATCTGAGTGGCCTCCGCCTGTTTTGATTCATAGTGGTTCACATGATTTTAAAATAAATACACCAACCTCTATATGGTCCCTTAGACAGTTATTGAATTTCAAGGAAAGATGCAACCATGAAGAATAAGGATCTTTCAAAACAACTCAGATATTAAGTTATATAAAGGCACAAATAAGGAGAAAGGTAAAAAAAGCATTTCAAACGTCATTAGTATGTCTTTGAGCATGGTGAAGTTCATCATAAAGAAGCGGAGGGCACCCAGACAGTCCTTAGATCAGGCAGTCTCTCCAAACTGAGCAAGAAGCAAACTGGTTAGGGAAGCTATTGTCAATAGTGACTTTGTGTTCAGAATTAAATGGCCTAGATGGAGAAAATGTCCATGAGTCACCAAAATCCCAGTCACTTCACAAAGCTAGACTTTATGGCAGAGTGAAACTCATCTAAATTTCAACAAAGAGATTCCAGCAATGTATACAAGTGGTACTGCAAACCATGCTGTCAAGCATGGCATTGGCAGCATAATGCTATACAGCAGCAAGGACTGGACAGCTGTCATGATGGGAACACATCCATCCATTTTCTAACCGCTTCATCCAACTCAGGGTCATACAGGAGGCAGGGACTATTCACAGCAAGCAATGGACACATCCAACACAGGGCAGAGATATAGACACAAACACACACACACTCACACCAGGGCCAATCTGCCTTGAAGCCAATTAGCTTACCACTACGTCCTTGGACTGTGGGAGGAAACCAGAGCATCTGGAGGGAATACATGATCATGGGGAGAACATACAAACTCCACACCGAAAGCACCTTATGTCTGGAATTGAAACCAGGGCCAACAACTGCGGCATCATAGTTTCATGATGGGAAAACAGATGAAGAAAAATACTGGGAAATCTTTGAGGCAGGCCTGCTTCGAACCTTAAAGTAGGATAGGGATTGAAAATACATGAACAAAGCACAATGAAGTCCTAGCTTAAATTGTATTGAGAATGGCATCAAGGCAGTGTGAAAAAAAAGGTAGAGAATTATTCAAAAATACTTGCATTGTAATTGCTTCCAAAGGTACTTCAAGGATAGAGTGTTTTCATGAGTCTGAATACTTCAGAACAAATAAATTCAACATATTTGTGAAGTGTTTTTTTCAGGGCCTTCAATGACATTATGTGAATGCCCTGCACAGACTCTCCCTCAGTTACCTAACACTAGTAACATTCAGTCCCCTGCACACCAACATCATACTACACTTCCCCTCCATTCAGCCCTGTTCACACTAACCTCACACTCCACTCTTGTTCTTCTAGAAAACTGGCAACATGAAGTGTTTGTTATCTGCTCTGCTGTGCATTTTACTCACTCTCAGTGTGGTGACAGGTAAGGCACCTGTGGTGACACTCGTTCACTGATATTCCCACCTGAGTAAAAAAGTAATTTAGAACAAATTTCTTTCATCTAAGTTTCTTGCCCTTCACAATTATTGCTTTGTGAAATACAGATGCAGCCATTCAAAATTTTTGAAAACTTTGTATTTCGCGGTATACCCCAGTGGGCATGTCGCATCAAAACGCAGTATCACGCAGTGTATAGCATCATTTGACATCATGCTGGAAAGTATGCGGAATCACCTTGTAAAACCGCCAGGAGGAGCCAATAAAGCTTAACCTCTCATGTACAGCATTTGAGCTTTTAAATTTAAACTGTATTACAGCATGTTAATCATCAGTCATTAAAAAGTTGGTATATTTTATGAAAGCAAGATTGCTCAGTTGGACAAAAGTACACAACCTACC